TGGCCAGTGAGATAATGTGAGCAACAGACTGGTATCTTTAAGCAAAAGCAAGACAGGGTTTGTTTGTTCGTATATGAGCATATGGATGTATGTGTGTGATCAGGCTCAATCCTTTTTCCATTAATTCAACAATGGCATTTAATAAAAGCAATAGCTGTGTAACCTTGGGTTGATCTTTAGTGGAAAAATAACATAAAAAGACAATGCACAGGAGATTTACTAAACTGGCCATTAATAAGCTTCACCTGGAAACATAGAGTCTGAAGTGTGCATTCCACAAAGAAGCCCCTGCACATAAATGGATTTCAAAGTTAATTTACTTCTGGGGTTCTATCATTAAAAGGTTGTTTTACTGGGGTCTCTTTTGGCGGAAACTGAGTTGGTTCTGACAGATCTTTAATAATTTCAGAGACAAACTTTTGAAAGCTATTAAAGATCACAGTACATTTAAATGAAGGCTTTAGAAGTAGAGTAAGTTATCAAATGGACGTTATCAATCTTTCATGCTCACCTAAGTTATTCCGGTATCGGAGCTGATTGCGGATACTATAGAGTACAACCTGCTTTTCATACTCCTTCTGAGAGTTCCCAAGACCCTATGAAACAAAATATAAATGTTATTTCACTTGTATTGTATATTCCTTTAGTAAAACCAGTGCAACCTGTACTACAGACAAGTATATTCAATTACATCTAGTGAATTCTCCTAATTGGTCATCGCAGCAATATCTTCAAATACATCTACCAGGTCAAAGTTATCCATCTAGCAGAATTCATACTGAGTACCTTTGAACCATACTTTTCTAAGGCAATGCCATCTGCAGCTGCTCTGACCATACACCACACTATGGGCTGCCCTGGCTAACCAGTTACTGGTAAGCATCGGTTGGAAAGGGGGATGCTTACCGGGTAACCACAACCTGTTACCCACTTAAATCCCTACTATATAGTAGGGATGTTAAAATGCGTTTATTTTGGTAAACATGTAACTGCTGACATTTTCAGCAGTTACATGTTTAGATGCGCAGGGGGTGGCTCTGTGAGCACCAGTTCCTGTCTCCTCTCCCCTCCCCGCCCCCCAAGCACAGCTGCCTCCGATACAGAGGCAGCAGCATGATGGGGGCCCTGCATGTAACCATGAAGGTTAACCAGGGTACATCTACACTGCACCCATAGCTCGAAATAAGCTATGCAATTTGAGCTATGCAAATTGCATAGCTTATTTTGAGTGTATTTTGAAATAGAGCGCTATTCCGAAATGTCCATTAATCCTCATGCGCTGTAAAGATGCAGAAAATGCTATTTTGGGATACTGAAAGTATTCCAATATAGCGCTGCAGTGTAGACATACTCTCAATGAGCTCAGGTTAACCTTTTACATGTTTATGTTTTCACATCCCTATTACAGAGTATAGCTGGGTGTTTTGCTGGCATAAATAAACTGGTCAGGAGTCTGTTGTTTTTTTTTCACATCTCTGACTGAAACACAATTTGGACCTCCCACCTGACCTGTTCCAAATGAGGGAGTTTGCTGGACCAGGGGAGGTAAATTCCACCCTTCTACTGATGGATTCCAGGCTCTCCCAGAACCCATCAGCAGAGCTGGCAGGGATCCCCTCATAGCTACAGGTCCCTTCTGCTCCCCACCCCCACTGGGCACCCAGTTCTGTGGCCAACCAGGAACTGCTAGGGAAGCAGGGCTCCACTGCTCCAGGATTCTGATGCCCCAGAATCACCAGGGCTACTGGGGCTGCCTCCAATCCCTGACGCTCAGCTCTTAGGGCTCTCTGGTCCAGTAATATCAGTGGTCCTGCCAGACAATGGATGTTACCAGACCAGAGAGCGTGGACCAGATAGGTTCAACCTGTAGCAATATGTCAATATAAGTTTTAAGTGTAGACAATCTTAAGTGTTCTTGAACCACTATTCTGATCAAGAGAGATAATCAAACCCTGAAAACAAATCTGTATGTGCCAATATATATTTGTTAGAACCCAGTTGTTCCAAGTGTCAAACATCTGACAAAGCACTAAGCCGGGGTGGGCAAAAGGGCCGGATCCCACTTATAGATCACAGTTGTTTATTTTGGATTAACCCAAGTCTGCTATTAGAAACAGATGTACGTGAAACTGAAATGTCTTCAGAACTCCCTGAAAACTAGGATTTAAAGAAAGTTTTAAAAATTTAAAATCACATTTTAAGTTTAACCAATACTACTCTGAGCACGTAAGAACAGCAGCTACAAGATTCATTATAGAGCTCTTTGAGTGCCTGCTGATATCAGAAGGAAATCTCATATAGATTCCAATCTGGGCCTGAAAAAAAATAAAATCAATGTGCCAATAGCAAGCAAGAAGCTCAAACCTGGAGGCCAAAAGCAACAATTTCTAAAAAAAATTAAAGCCTCACTTGTTTGTTGAAATAGCTCAAATCTGAAGGCCTCAATCTTGCAATTCAATCTATATATTAGGAGTCCCCAATATTTTAATGGGACACTGCATGAGCAACAGGAGTACACACACAAGTACAAACACCTGATTGCAAAAAATCAGGACTCACGTTTCTAGTCCTTATGACTGAAGACAGCTTTCCAAAAGTGACCCAAATTTAAACTGATGCATTGTTGCCTTCCCAACATATCTCCATCCCCACTTACAATTTTGCCAATATGAGCATAAGAAGCAACCAAAGAATTGGTTCCACACCAACCAGCAGCCAAGTGAAATTAACTAAATTCAGGTCAGTATTACTGTCAAGAATTACTTTCACTTTGACAGAGGTGCAACAGCCCCCCATTTGGTAGAAAGAAGGCCTGACAATGTGAATGATGAAGCCAGGAGAAGGGGCAGCTGAGGCCAGAGAAAACTAAAGGAAATGATATTGCCCCCTTAAGCACCACCTCGCTCAGGAAAGTAGGGGGATACATGCCTCTCTCCCTCTCACTAGGCTCCTATACCTCTACCTAACACAGGATGTCCAGCGCAGCAAGTTGTTGACAGTTCCCTTCCATGCCAGTAGCTATGTAACACCAACTGAGGAGGGGTTGGCGCTGTCCTGGCACTTGTCCAACACTATGGGAACAGAGAGGCTGGTATCCAGTCCCTGGCTGTACGGTTACCCCACCCCCTAGCCCGCTATGAGTCAGACACTGGCCAAAGGAGAGCTGGTACCCATTCAGCCCAGTGCCAGGCCAGGGTCAGAACTTGTCCATTCCCAGTGGGAGGGGAGTTGGTATCTGCCCGGCGGACACCAGTCCAGTACTAGGGATGTAAAGAGTTAACTCACACCCTTACTGGGTGATGCTCACCCGGGAAACAGGTAACTATCAGCCCAGCCAGCGGGAGCAGCCTGGCTGCCCTCAGCAGGAGGAGCCGCCCCCCACTATCCGGATCCCACTGAAGTGATTAACATGACACCGTTTCCCCAGTTCACACGTTAAGGGGTATTTACATCCCTACCCAGGACCAGCGCTTGTCTGTCGCTGGCAGGAGGGGGCTGGTACCATTCCGGCTGCCCCCACCCCGCCCCGCCACCTGTCAGGTGGTGGCGGGG